TCTTGACAAAGCATCGATTAGAAATAATTTAGGAATAATGCTTTAATGCAATGATGATCTCATAATTACAATCTCATTGTAATTCCCTTACAAAGCATATTTATTCCAAGGACTTTATCTATAAGAAGTAATATTAATTATGTGTCTACAATCTCATAGATAAAAAATACCTTTGATAATAATAGATACATAATATGACATGTATCCTATAGATAATTCGATGGGTCTTAGGGCATATTACCAATAGAATCTTTATAGCTAATTTGATATTTTTCCTCTTCTCTCATTAAATGGTAAGAAGGCACAAGAATCACCACACAAAGGACCATTAACCTTATGCAAAGAAGGAGCTAAAGCTTCCAACTTTGAATTGTCAAATAATATTCTATGCTGCTAGATATCTACCATTATAGTAACCTTTGACTTTTTAGAAAGGTTTTTAGTTGCAAAATTCATAAAGAGGGATATGAGTAAACAAGGAACAAGCTTGAAAAGAATTTGTATAAGAAGGAAGGTGACGTGCATGAAATGGAGTTGAGCTACATCATTATTCCTAATGCTACCAAAATTGAGATGGTCACTAGTTAAGGACTTAAAGGGCTTCAAAAATTAACCTTTGATAAGCTTAGGTGGCTGCCAACACACCTCACACATGGCTACTTGTTACCTTTCCATTGGACCACACATACAAGCTAACATAAAGGATGAATGACATGGATAAAAGAGCAATGGCAATTTTGATTTTTATCATTTTCAAAATAGTCCATGTTTAAGTTGTAATATTTAACGTTGAGATGTATTATTAAAGGCCATTCATTGGCTAAGAAAAGATTTATCTTTTACCTTGAACTAGGGCATTACAGGGCTAAAAGAGAAAGCCTCCCTTACATTTTGTATTTTTCTTTTCTTTCCAGCCCTTAGGCAACATTACAGGTACACAATTGATGGTCATGCTCTACTCTTTTTAGGCTTCATTTAGCATTATTTTCTTGTTATTTCTTTAGCCATTTTACTTGTTCATTTAACTTTCTTTTATTAAACCTCACTTTAAATTTCAAGCATTTATGTTACTAATGGAATTTCAATTGTCATTTACTTTGTTTCCAATCCTACTTGCTTTGTTCTTTTTCTACCTTGTTCAGTTCGGTTTTCATGTGTTCTCTTCCTTATGTGTTTTGTTTTCATCTTGTTTTTTGGCTTGGGTATGAAAGCCTAAAGTGGCCTTACATGTGAGACATCATGAAAGGGTCCTAAAATGGCTTGGCTCTATCTTATCTCCAATTAAGTTATGCTTTCTATGGCTATTTTCAACCTAGATTTTCACCCATCTGTGTTCAGTTTTTGAATATGTTATGCATTTTTTTTTTGCTTGTTTTTAAGTATATTTTAAAGATATGCTTTTAGATTTAGTGTATCTTGCATGTCTCCTAAGTTACGCTAGCATTTAGGCCAAAAGGTCTGTGTTGTTCTCATTTTTCATGGTGTATTTTCAACTTTGTTTTTGTCCCTATTCTATTCGGTTTTAAGGGTTAGTTCCTATAAGTCTTTTTGATGCATTTTAGATCTATTCTATTTTCATGTATTTTGTTTTGATGTTTCCATGTGTTTTCATTGATTTTCCTTTACATTTTAGCTTATTGGTATATTTTTAGGGTTTATTCTAATCTTGTTCATGGTAGTTGTTTTGGGTTGGTTCTAAGTGGTTTTCTAAGTTTTAAATATGTATTTTCTATTTGTATAATGCCTTATTTAGGTTGTTTTGATGTCATCTAGATTAGATCTCATGTTTAAGTAGTTTGTCATGTAGATCATTAAATGTATATTAATATGTGTGCATGGCTTCTACTTGTTGGTATTTTGGTTTTTCTTTACTGTTTTAGGTTAGTGTTTATTTCTGTTTATAGTGTTAAAATGTTATATCTTTGAGTTTTATTCATGTTTAAATTAGGTATTCAATGTCTTGCAGGTTTAGGCTTGTGTAAATGTCCATTTAGGTTAGTTTACCAAGTCTTTGATAAATTTTTCTTTTTCGTTTTTGTTAGGTTGTCTTTTTTTTATTTGCTTGCTGTTCCAGGTACTGTTCCAGCCCCTAAACTTGTTAAATTTAATCTTTAATTTATGCCTTTAACTTGCATTTTCAAGTATGCTTGCTTTTATGTTTATATGTTAGTTAATTTAAGCTTGATTTACATGTTTTGTTGTTAAAGTTTACAATATATATGCAGTTGCTTGTGTGATTAATTGTTGATTTGGATTTTAAGTCATATTAGTTAATGCCTATTTGGTTCTTGCTAGTTTAGTTTGCTTGGTTTACCCATTTTAGGATTAGGCGCATTTAGGGTTAAGTTATCATTCAGTTAGGTTAGTTTAAAATTTTGATAAATTTTAATTGATATGTTAATCTAGGTTTACATTCCCAAGCATTTCTTTTTATGTCATTTAGATTAGGTCAGGCGCCATTAGTTTATTTTAGGGATGTTCCCATGTATTTAAATGTCATTTAGGGTCATTTGCATTTAATGTAATTTTAGTCATTTTAATTCCATTTCACGAATGTTTAATTATTGCATTTTAATTTTATAGTTTAGGTTTTTTTATGCTTTAATTTAAAGCTTTTAATTTAGGGTTTAGAAACTTTTCATTTCTAGAAACTTTATGTTTTTAGTAATTTTCCACTTTAGGAAATTTTTTTATGTTTAGTAAATTTTAGGATTAACATAATAATTTTAATAATTTGTTAGTAATTTAGCTTTAATTACTTGGGGATTCAATTTTAGGATTTATTTAATCTTAATTGAGTTAATTAGTTTAATAATTTCACAAATTTTCCCTCGAGTCAGATATATCCTAAATGTCCAATTTCAGTAGTTTGTCCTAGGTTAGATACTCAATCCCCAAAGAGAATAACTTAGAATACTTCCATTCTATTTTATTTGTGTGGCTCATACACTTGCAATACTCTTGCATGACAAGTATCACGGTCTAATGCAATGATTTGATTCATGGGTATTTATAATATTTTAATAATTATGTTAAACTTAAATTACATTAAATACTAAGTACATTTATCCATAATTAACTAGATTCATAAATGTCATAGAGTCATGAATGATTAAGTTCATGAATAGTTAGATTCATTCAATTTGGATCTATTCATAATTTATTAAATAATAAATATGAAGTTAGACTCAAATTTTAAATGACATGAAACATGAAATACATTAATCTACAATTAATTGAGTTTATCAATATCATAGATTCATGAATGTCAAGGTTCATAAATAGTCAAAATACACTCATTAATAGTTAATTAGGTTCATTTATACCATAGATTTATGAATTATTAAATTAATGAATATTGAAATATAGTAAATGAATCTAGACTCAAATTTTAAATTATAAAAACTACAAAATACATGTATTCATAATTAATTGAATTCAAAAATACTATAAATTCATGAATGTCAAATTAATAGTTAGATTCATGTAATTTAAAATAAAAATAAAAACAATAATAAAAAATATTTTAAAAAACCACATGTCCACTATTTCAATAACTTGCGGATAGAAATAGTATATGTTCATTATAGAGTTTTTTTTTTTTTTTAATATGGAGTCTTTTAATTAATTGATTGATTAAAAGAGAAAGATAAATTAATTAATGATAATGATTAATTAATAATGGATTGATAATTGATAATTTATATAAAATAATAATCAAATTTTAATAGAGATATTTTAATATTTTTTTAGTATATATATAATAATTATTTTGACTCACCAATCTCCATGTTCAAAATACTTCAAATTTTTATAATATAAAAAAATATACATAATGAAGAATCTGGAGTTCATTCAATTAATTTATGTAACCACTTTTAATAAATGATATCTAATAAATTTAAAATTTAAATCTCAGCGCACCTGTAATATTTTTTCTTATCATTAACCCATTACCTCCTTTTATAAAAAAATAAAAACAAGAGACTTGAAAAGAGGTCTTATGGTACTTGGTAGATAATTAGTATGGCTTACTTGCTCCATTGTGCACGATAGCATGAGTAGTGTCCAATTTTTGTATTATTCGATCAAAAATTGTTTGTATTGGAGGCTACTTTAGAATAGTTGTTACGGTTGACAAAAGTTTTTGTTGAAAAAAGAACGATTAAAAAGTACAGTGAAAAAAATATGATTAAAAATTTTAAGTGTTTGGTGTTTTTGTGCAAAAATGTTGAGTAATTGAAATGTTTAAAAAAATATATTTAAAATAATAAAATATTAAAAATATGGAATAATAAAGTGATTTTATTTCAAATATAATTTTTTATCATAAAAGCAACTCTTGAGAAATTTTTTAAATTAAAAAATCAAACGTTTAAATCAAAAAATCAAATATTTTTATTATTTAATATTACATGTCGATCAATAGCAAATTCTTGAAAAAAAAAAAAAAAAAAACTAGCAATTCAAACGAGGCCTAAATCATAATCTTAATTCAAAGCCACTTTGAGAAGATAAATGGAGAATAAGACAGCCCAATGGCACGACAAACGTATCCCATGTTGCAAAATGGAAGGTTTGGATAACTTTGCTTCTTTCTCTCGTCACTGCTATGCCTTACCTTCACTCTTCAAATCACAATTTCGCAAGGCTTCGGCTTTGGATGCCAACAAAATTTGGGCATCAAAAAAGGTTATAGGACCCCCATTTGAGAATGTCAGCTTCCCTTTTAGCATTTACATTGCATGCGCCACAGACAGTTTGGTCCACCAACAAGCTTCCATCATCACATTCACATGTACCATTACACAAATTCAAAATATCAATACTTATATTTCAGATCTGAAAAATTATTCTGCCATGATTCATTAATTAATTATCTGCATTTTTCTATGATTTTTTACTAAGACTTTTAGCAATGCCAAATTATGTTACTAAAGAAATTCTCATTTGTTAATAGACGTCACAACCAACCTTTTAAGGCAATTAAAACAGCCTGGTCTTAAACGGATGATAAGTTGAATCAAAAGCAAAAGCACAAGTCATAATTACAACCACCAAGATCCACCCAACAAGAACAAAAGGAACAGATTTCCACCTCAAACTATAAATGAAAAAAAAAAATAAAGGAAAAGAAAAACAAGTACAATGGCCAATGGAGAATTAGGGGAAAAGAAGAGAGGGGAAAAAGAAAAAGACAATTGGCACCTAATAAAGGAATATTAGATCGAGGTCAAGCATTCAACAAGGCCACCAAACTTATCATGCTAATTATGGACATAATAAAGGAATGACAATCCATCTATCCATCAGAGAACATGTTATGGTGGCCGGCCTGAGATAACTTATCGAGAGTCATCTGCATCATTGACCTCATCAGGCTGTGCATCCAGATCTTCTCGCAAACTAGAACGACGTAGCTCCTCAATTCGGGTTGTCACTTCAGACATGGAGGGGCGATTGTCAGGGTATTGGGCAGCACAATCTACTGCAAGTTGCAAGAGTTGGACCATCTCTTCCTCCACATTCTGATACCTGATGAGCTCAAGATCAAAAACCTCAGAAGTCCATTCCTCACGAACAACAGACTGCACCCATCTTGGGAGGTCAATTCCTTCCTCATTCAAGATTGAATGGGTGGGGGCTTTCCCGGTCAGTAGCTCCAAAAGCAACACACCAAAGCTATAAACATCAGCCTTTTGTGATACTTTGCGGGGGTCAGTCACCTCCGGTGCCCGGTACCCAGCCACTCGATTGGGAGTGGAGGAAGGCCCTACAAGGTGTGCCAGGCCAAAATCTGAAACTTGAGCTACATAGGATTTAGTGAGGAGGACATTTGAAGACTTTATGTTTCCATGAGAAACATTAGGGCCTTGAGAGTGCAGGAATTCGATTCCCCGGGCAGCTCCAAGAGCAATTCCAGATCTAGTGTCCCAGTTCAGTGGAGTCCTTCCTGCTCCTTTGTTCCCTGTATCCCAAAAGTTTAACAGTGAAATGAAAGAAAAATTAAAGCTAAATACAGCACTATCACTCCAGACTATGATGTAATCTCCAGAAATAGCTGAAAAATGATGCTAAATAAATCAACAAAGTTTGATGACAAACACTTAGATGAAAGCAAAATTGAATTTTGCTCATAACAGGAGAGGTAAATGGCTGAATGAGAAGATCAATGCAATATCATTCATATCATTCACCTATGAAGAATGAATACCATCTACATATCAAATTAAGCAACTTCAAAAGAAGCAATGAAGAATTACTTTGAATTCCACCCATTTAAGCATCCTTTTTTATCAGTTTTTTATAAGAGAATCAACCCATAATAATAATAATAATAATAATAGTGCAGTTTATTATTATCTTCACAAAAGAACCAAGTCTAAGAGCTAACTAATAACAAATAATAGTATCAAAAAAATTAGAAACACAAACACATAAAAAAAAAAAAAAAGGCTCAGTAATCATCTCCACCAACAGATGATGAATGAAAATGATAACTATTCACCAACATAAATCTGGAAAAAGCAAAGCAATAAATGATCTAAAAAGGATTGCTCTAAATTTTAAAAAAAAATGCTCACCATGCAAAAGCGCAGATAAGCTTCCCATGGGCATGTAATCATAAACAAGAAGCTTCTCATCCCTACTAAAGTAGTAAGCTCTGAGAGGGACCAAATTTTGATGATCCATAGCTCCAACCCCTTCAATCTTATCCTTAAATTCCCTCTCAGAAATTGTGACATCCTTGAGCCTCTTAACAGCCACTGCATTGCCACCTTCCAACACTGCTTTATATGTTGTTCCAAATGGTCCTTTACCTAAAACCTCAGCAGAAGCTCTCAACAAATCCTCCAAGTCAAACACTCTCGCTGCATTCCCAAAGAAAACCAACTTCTTAGCTCCGGTCCCATTGGTTTCAGCTGCTTTCACTCCACCACTACCCACCATTGCTGCTGCTGCTGCCGCCGCGACTGAATACCCATTCCCATATCCACCATTCTCCATTTCTCCACCTGATTTCTCCCCAGGAATCTCCAATTCTTGATTTTTAATCGAAGCAATGGCAATTGACCTCGTTTTCTTGCTACTCTTCTTTCTACATAAAACCATCAAAATCATAACAATCAATAGAAATCCCAGCATAGATCCGATCACAATACCTGCAATTGCACCCCCAGACAACTTGCTCTTCTTATTTTTCTCGTGTTTATTCACGTCCGTCGGATTGGCAGGCTCAGTTGCATTCCCTGCAGCAGCAGTAGCAGGGCAAGCCTTGTCAAGTGGCAGTCCACAAAGCAAATTCCCCAGAAAAGCATCGGACCCATACTTCTGTAACCCCTTTGGGATTGAGCCGTTCAACAAATTATTTGACACATTAAACTGATCGAGATTTTGCAAAGAACTCAAATCAGGTACCGACCCAGAAAAGCTGTTGCTATCAAGAAGCAAAGTTCTTAACCTTGTCAAATTGTTGAAACCAACAGAGATTTCCCCAGAAAAATTATTACCGCCAAGATTTAGCCTCACTAAACCATGAAGACCAAACAGGAACTCCGGGATCTCACCAGAAAAACGGTTCCCTTGCAAGTAAAGGTTTCGGAGATTCTGACAAAAAGCAAGATCCGAAGGGAGTTGTCCGGTTAACGAGTTGAGACGGAGACTGAGGGTGCGCAGCTGAGTCAAGTTCCCGAAAATGCCAGGAGGGATTTGACCTGAGAGTGCAACGCCAGGTAGCCTAAGCCCTGTAACGCGGTTCTGCTCGCACCTAACCCCAGCCCAGGAGCATGGACTTTGGTTGGAGATGTTCCAGAACAGGGTTCGGCCTCCGACCGAGGAACGAAGCGCCAAAAGCGCTGCTCTATCGGTGACAAGATCTGGTTTGGTCGCCTTTAGTAGGAGCAAAAAAAGAATGGAAATGAAAAAAATTTGGGTTGGCATTTTTGGTTTTGCTTAAGACAAGGGATTAAAGATATACTAATGCGGATAATATGGGAGGATTTTGCCCCTGTTTGTCTCCCGTTTGGCTTGGAAGCATTCAAAGAAAAAAAAAGGAAAGATAAGAGAAGAGAATAGAGAGAAGAGAGAGTTTAATGAGAGAGCATTTTTTTCTATGTCGATAGGTAAAGGGTGGGTGAGTAGTAGTACTGTAGTGACGAATGTGAAGGAAATACAACCCAATCCAATACAATACGGTAATACAATACAACGGAAGAGGCAAACCCTAGCTGTGTACGGTATTGAACGATGCTGGTTAGTCAACAGGGTTTCCTACCTGCTTTTTCTTTTCTTTCGTCTTTAACGGAGTATTTCTTTTTGTGTTTTTATTTTTTTAAATGAGTAAATTAAAACATATTTAACAGAATATCTCTATTCATTTTTGTTCTTTTTTACTGATAAGCTGTAAACGTTTTTTCATCGTATTTTTCTCTCAACGGAGATGAAAATGCGGCTGAGTAAAATTAAAGGTTTTTTTTTTTTTTATTTGATGGGGGAGTGTCGGGCCGAGGCTTTTATTTTAGCTTTTGCGAATATAGAAATTTAGCATTATGCAGCGGGAGATTCAAGATTTTTTTATGTTTAATTAATAATATAATAATAATAAATGTTGATAAATTTATTAATTTATTTAAAAAATAATGTTAAAAAATTTTGTGAATTTTTTTATTTTTAAATTTTTGGGAGTTTTCACGAATATCTTAATTCATCATTTGAATTTGCCACTGACGTTGTGTATTTATTATTTTTTAATAAAAATTTCACAAAATTGATGTCACGTTGTTAATATGGATTCGTCATTGGATGCTTTAACTACAACAAAAAAAATTTAAAAAAATGAAACGCAAAATGAAAAGAATTTGCAATTTGGTTTCTCTTTATCCAATTATAGAGATGATGCTTAAAAAATTTGGGTTCATTTGAATTAGCAAAAAAATTTTGTTTTGATGATATTAAAATTAATATTATTGTTAAAATTATAATTATTGTAATAGTGATATTAAAATCAATTTTGATATATAATTTAGATATCAATGTAATAATGGGAAAAATGTTAAATATAGTGTTAAAAAGTAAATAACAATAAATAACGTTAGATTAAAACTTGTATATAATAAAATTTATAATATATATTTGATATTTGTAAAATTAATAAATTATAAAAAATTATTTAAAATTATTTTTATATTAAATAATATTTTTATTATTAAATATTTAAAACTTAATTTTTATATATATTATTATTATATATAAAAAAAAGAAAATAAAATAATGAAAAAGCAAAGTTAAAGGCCACAAGTGATACAACCATTTTTGTCCCTTCACTATTGTTTCAAAAAGTGAAAAAGATTTTAAAAAGTTAGCATTATTGACAAGGAAACCTGCAGTAGAGATGGAATTTACAATGTGACGAAAAAAAAAAGAAAAAAAAATATATGGTGCGTATAAAACAACTTCAACTCCACTGAAATTGTTTGCCAAATGTATGGTTAATCTAGTTTGGGAGCAAATTGCACCTCAATTGGGGACATGGGCTTTTAGTGAATTGTATCGCACTAAGGTTTTACTTTGTAGGGAAGATGAAAAAGAAAACGAAAAACTTGTTAATATAATTATTAAAATTTATAATCATTTTTATTATTTTGTAGATTAAACATTATATTAATAAATTTTTTATTCTCGTCCCTTCTAATAATTTTTATCAAGCAAAGCCTAATTGTCCAAAGAGAAAATTTTCACTATGTTAGAGACTACTTTCGCCAAGAAAAATGAATTTTTTTTTATGGATTGTTATTTTATATATTGTGAGTGAAATTTTACAAATTAATGAGATTGAAATATTATCATACATCTTTTTTTTTATATTAATATTTTTATTTTTTAAGTATATTTTAAGTGGGTGTATATCAACCTCTAATCTTGATCGATGGGTAATGTACAAGATAAAATTTTATCATTTATTCAAAAAAAAACTTGCTTTATTATTTTCTTTTTATAGACGAAAATCTATTCAATTTAAATTACTCCTTCCATCTCATAAATTATGTTTGGCTTGTGTTTTTTGCAATGAATATAATATTCCAATAACATATGATAAAATAGTTTAGGTTTTCCCGAAAATCAAGTAATTAAATATTTGAATCTTTTTCATTAAAAAAAAAAACAAAAACCTTCCGTAGTCTAATTAATATAAGCCACTAGGCTCAATACTTAACTAATAATTACATTATCTGACAAATGTTCAAAGTTATATCTAATACTTACATTATACACAAAAATAGAAAGTAATTAAAAGACTTAATTAAATAAAGAACTATTCTTGATTCGAATTAGCAAATTAGCAAACAGCACCAAAAAAAAAATCCTCTTTGACCTTTTTTTCTCGTGATTGTTTCGTACATCGATCAGTTTGTTTCTTAGTAAATAGAAATTTATTAGCAAATAGCACCAAAAAAGAAAATCTCAAGTTTAACTTCATATAAAAGTGCTTGGCATGCTTCAACAACATATCGGAGATCTCAAAATTACATGAAATTATGATTGGTCCCTCGTTCTGGTTATCAAGATCATCTTATTCTTGGGATTGCATCAACAATTCCTTGAAAATTGAAAGTGAAAGATACTCTTACCTCTTACTCTCATCCTTTATGTCATTGGCATGAGTACAAGAGCTCAAATGCCGAAGATAAATCTAGCCTTTACTCTGATCGACCTTATACTTGTTATTTCAAGTTCTTACATGCAATTCAAATTTTGCACTAATATTTTGGCACACCAAGTAAGGGCTTTTTTTTGTTAAGTTTGGAATGACACCATGAAGAAAAGTAGTAGAAAAATGAGGTCAACCCATAACAACAAAAACCTCTAACACCTAACTCACCTTAAAACTATGGTGGTTGAGCTAGAAGTGATCGAGATGGTGAAGATCCAAGGTCTACCTGACTAGAGAAAAGTTAAAAAATAGGAGATTGATGGAGCTGGCTGTGATTGAAGTGGTGGTTGACCTTAAGAAGGAAAAAAAAAAGAGATTGATTGCTCTTAGCCTTGGCTTTCGAATGTCCATTATTGAAATCTAATCCAAGGTCTGGCTAACTTGATGAAAGAGGAAAAAAGAGATCGCCCACTCTCAGCCTTAGCTTTTAAATACCAATAGTTGAAACCTACAATGGTATTTCTAATCCTTTTAATCAATTGGATTTACTATATGCTAATATATTGATACAATGAGCAATACCATATAATAAGGTTCAATATTGAAGCTTCAAAAGTGAACGAGCTTTACTACAACAATAAGTGAAGCTACAAAAGTGGATGAGTTTTGAAAACGAGTTCGGCATAAGAGCTCAACTCGATAAAATTGCATTCGTAAAGGTCTAGCTCAACGAAATAGCTCATCTTGACAAATTACGTTCATAAAGGCCTAGCTTAACAAAAGAGCTCATCTCGACAAATTGCATTCATAAAGGCTCAGCTCAACAAAATTGCTTTCATTAAGGCTTAGCTTAGTAAATGAGCTCACCTTAACAAATTGATTATTAAAGGCCTAGCTTGGCAAAAGAGTTTAACTTGACAAATTGCTTTTATAAAGGCCCAGCTTAATAAAAAGAACTTATCTTGATAAATTGCCTACAAAAGGTCGAACTCGGGAAAAACTGTTTATCTTAAGAAATTGCTAGCAAAAAAGCTCATCTCGACAAATTACTTTCATAAAGGCTCAACTCAACAAAAGAGCTCATATTGATAAATTACCTTCATAAAGGTCCAGCTTAACAAAAGAGCTCATCTCAACAAATTATCTCCAAAAAGCTTAGCTTGGCAAAAAAACCACTCTAAAAAAATTTTCATATACTGATACTTGGTTATACTGACGGTCAAATTGCATTAATAAAATAGACTTTTACTCATGAATTTTTAATACCGTCAGAATATACCATACTTATATACTATACATGTACCAACACTTTATTTAACCGTTGGTATAAATAAACTTTTTTTTACAGTATATGGCTATCCGTTAGTCTAAATATGTTATATACTGATGGTTATTAAAGTAACCGTTAGTATAGGCTCAAAAACAATTATTGGCTTTTGTTTAAGCAAAAAAATTAGAGGGCATTTGGTTCACGAAATCGTAGATTCCGAGAAAAAGTGTGATACCTGAGGTTTTCTTTCATTTTTAGGGTATTTCATGTTTAGATTCACTTGTTCAGTTGGAGGGATTCTATATATATATTAAATCTAAAATAATTACTATAATTTCCTTGGCATATATGATGATAATTTAAATAACCTCATTTTAATTGAATGAGATTATTCAAGGCGTTTTCTAGCAAAAAATACCTTGAATAATTTCTTGAAAAACTTAAAAACTCTAGAAGTAGGGATCGAACCTATGACCTTATGGTTAACAGTTGTATGCTCTAATCGATTGAGCTACTTCAATGTTTTTATAATTGAAAGGTATTATTTAAACTAAGAATAATCCCCTTTAGGAGGGGATTATAAAAACGATTTGAATAATCCCCTCCCATTTTCTTTTTGGATTATTCAAAACATTTTTGGCTAGAAAACACCTTGAATAATCCCATTCAATTTTTTGTAAGAGATTATTCAAGGCATTTTCTAGCCAAAAATGCCTTGAATAATCCTCTCATAAAAATTGAAAGGGATTATTCAAGGCATTTTAGCCAAAAACATCTTGAATAATCCCATTCAATTTTTTGTAAGAGATTATTCAAGGCATTCTTCCAATCAACTCTACATACTTAATCTCTACCTCCCACCAACTTTCTCCACCCATCGATACCCATAGCCTAATCTCCATCTCCCACCAACTTTTTTCACTTTTCATTGACTCTACAAACTTAAACCCATCAGCACCCATTTTGTTTTAGAGCTGAATCAAAGTTGAAGCATCAAGACTCTCATCATTTCTCAAAAGGCATTTTTCATTTTATGCATGTCAATTTTGTGTCATCGAGCATGCCTTTTTTTTTTGTCCTTCTACTGGCATTGGCTTTGATGATTGAATGTTTTGTGAAGAAATAATAGCTTAAGACAATTAACTGTTTGGGGTTCACTTCAAACAAAACATAATCTCCATTTTCTTGGTAGTTTTGGTAATGCATCTTTGTTTTAATGTTTTCTCGTTATTGATTGACAAAATTTTCTCTATTTGGTTAAAATTTGTAAAGGATGGCAAATTATTGCCATATTAAGGTGTAATCAGACCATTCATATCTAATTAAAATCAATAAAAAGAAATGAAGCAAAAGTTCCTTTCCTGCCTTGTATATGCCTAAATAATGGATAGCTTTTGGATGTTAACAAATAA